CAGTGTAGACTCCTGTGTGTGTGTGTGTGTGTGTTTGGTGATGGTAGTTGTTAACAAAAATATTGTAGGTAATTTATAAAGTCACAATTTCTATGATTTTATATAAACAAGTCATGTCACGGTACCGGTTGTTCATAACAATCACCACATTAAGACGTGAGGTGTTAATGTAAACTCTCGTAAATTATTCTTTATCTAATCTTCAATATTAAAATATGTAGAAAAAGTGCGAAAAGATTGTCGCCGCTGAGGGAATCAAACCCATGTCTTCGGCATTCGCGGCCTGACGCTCTAGCCACTGAGCTAAACGGCTGATTACCACACCGACGAAAATCTTAACGCATTCTTCCACATTGTTTTCTTAGCATTTGAAGCAATGCTTGGCGCCATCTATTGTTATATCCTTTCCAGCATACAAACAACTTCGAATATCGTTTTACAATGATAATTCGAACGAGAGATGTCGCCATTGCTTTTTTAGAAATTTAAATTGTTTATAGTGCTAATCTTTGCACTTAAGATTGAACATTAAAATATGTAGAAAAAGTGCGAAAAGATTGTCGCCGCTGTGGGAATCGAACCCACGTCTTCGGCATTCGCGGCCTGACGCTCTAGCCACTGAGCTAAACGGCTGATTACCACACCGACGAAAATCTTAACGCATTCTTCCACATTGTTTTCTTAGCATTTGAAGCAATGCTTGGCGCCATCTATTGTTATATCCTTTCCAGCATACAAACAACTTCGAATATCATTTTACAACGATAATTCGAAAGAGAGATGTCGTCATTGCTTTTTTAGAAAATTTAAATTGTTTATAGTGCTAATCTTTGCACTTAAGATTGAACATTAAAATAGGTAGATGATATACAACATATCTGATACAAATGATTGTATATAATATCCTGTTTTATATTTATGTATGTATTTATACCTATGTTTTTTTTTTTAAACACTGCCCTTACTTTAGGATAACTTTATTCTGTGTTGTAAGGACGTTTTACAAGCATAAATTTCACGCGGACAAACCAGATGCGAAACAACTATCTGTGGATCACACAAATAGTCGTCCCGTGTGGGATTCGAACCTAGCACCCCCGACGCCGAAGCCGATACCTTGGCCACTGCGCCACGGAGTCACCAAATTTTTCACCAAGTTTTCCTATATTAAAGCTAAAATAATGTTACGATCAGAAACTTTACATTAAACAGACGATCGTAATTCGGTCCCTGGATAACAGAGAATTCTATTAAAAATTCGAATGAAATGAAAATAGGTTTTAGAATCTTTTAGCCGCAATGACGATCGAAATTCCGACAGTAAAATGGGCCTGGAGCGAACTAGACGGACAGGTCAGTTGCGAAACTTGAAGAAGAAGGAAGAGGAAGAAAAAGAGGGATTAAGTATATTTTTTATCAAGGGCTCATCAGAAAACTCGTTGCTATTTGCTGTATAATAAAGTGTTAATTTCTCCTTACATAATTTCATCAGTGAAGTCAAATTTATTATTCTCATTGTTCCAAGTTTTCGTTTTAGACATTAATAAAAAAACTATATAAATTTCATGTCTTACGATTGCCTAAGAATTAGATATTTTTTAAATTTTAATTTTCAATCTTAAGTGCAGAGATTAACACTATAAAAAAATTAAGTTTCTCAGAAGCAATGGTGACATCTCTCGTTCGAATTATCGTTGTAAAACGATATTCGAAATTGCTTGTGTGCTGGAAGGGATATAACAATGGCTGCGCCAAGCATTGCTTCAAATGATATTCGTCGGTTAAGATTTTCGTCAGTGTGTCAATGAGCCGTTTAGCTTAGTGGCTAGAGCGTCAGGCCGCGAATGCCGAAGACGTGGGTTCGATTCCCACAGGGGCGAAAATCTTTTCGTACTTTTCTACAAATTTTAATTAGATATTTATTTTGATTGATTTAATTTAAAAAAATACTAAAGAGTATACATAATCAATTGTTATATTATTCAATTATTACACCAAGGCGTGCATCAACCTTCACCTTCAGTACAATTTTTAACAATTCTTCATCTTCAGATATCACAGTATTAGTCATTTAGGTTGAGTTTTATGTCGAATTACAAGTCTATTTTATCAGTAAACTTATTCTTGATTACCTTATTGTCTTAAAGCTTATAACACCTAACAAGATTCGAAACCATCATTTCCATAATATATTCATATTTCGCTCTTGACACTTAACATTTTTTTATTTTTCACTATGGTACAGTCGATTTAATTAAATTTGACGATTTTAACCTCCAACGTTTTGAACCACAGGTGTTTAAAATTAAAAAAGAAATTATTCTTTCAGGCGATATATTTAGTAGTAGTAATTTCTTTATATATTATACGTATGATCACTCGAAGCTAATACGAGTAGGTACATAAATACATGAGATATTATATTATTGGCCATAGATTTTCGGGAACTCATTATGCGTGTTTTGTTCTCCACGAAGGTTGTATAAAAGTCTAAATTCATGCATTGTACATTTAAAATACTACTTACATAGTCACAATAACGGTCCTTTTCAAACGATAAAGGATATTGTTTCTTGGTAAGCTTCTTTGAATGTTTAGTATTCTGGTGTTCTATTAAGTCGAATGCATCTGTAATAATAGATTTTGCCCGTTCTAACTTCAATTAACATCATTAAATAGCCGTTGAAAAACTTTATGTCTAATCAAATTATTCAAAGCAAAGAAAAGTTTCTAAAGAAAAGAAAACAGTTACCAATAACTGACGACAAGTCTTCATCTTTATCGGCATCAAATGTGATTTGAAATTGTTTAGATTTACTGCGATCTCGATGATGTCCTTAAAAAAATGAACTTTAAAAAAATGAAATACGTAAATGTATAATATCACATCTATATATGACTTAACTATTATTTAACTAATATAACACCTAAACTATACAATTTTGAAATTTTCCCTTACCATCACTATTAATAATGAGAATAACAAAAGACAAAGTGAACGTAACTAGAACTAATAAATTACGTTTCATTGTATGAATTTTCGTATTACACGTTGGATAACGTTGAAATATGTATATTTAAAACAAACGTTTTATGAATATGTGTCGTGTATGGTTATGATAAAAGATTTAATGGTTCTTAAAGTAATAAACGGAACACGATGATGCTCCGTGTACCATAAACATGCTTAATAACTATTTGAAAGTATAACTATTCTTTCGAGCTAGGAATTCGGGATTAGAGTTGTTGTTTAAATCTTCACTTCATTAGTTCCACAAACGTGTGCAGCGGCCCACTCGATACCACTCAAATCCTTACTTACTACTATCGCTACGACTAGGACTCTCATTCTCATCAATCCTCCAGTTACCAGACTGCCGATGCGATAACCTCTCGATGTCGCACCAATCTTCACGTACGCTTCTACAGGTGCGACTGCCCAAACGTTACCGCACCGATCCTCCACGTATGCCTTCACACACCCATTTCACTGTTCCTTTTCTTCTTCCTCTTCCTTCTTCTTCAAGTTTCGCAACTGACCTGTCCGTCTAGTTCGCTCCAGGCCCATTTTACTGTCGGAATTTCGATCGTCATTGCGGCTAAAAGATTCTAAAACCTATTTTCATTTCATTCGAATTTTTAATAGAATTCTCTGTTATCCAGGGACCGAATTACGATCGTCTGTTTAATGTAAAGTTTCTGATCGTAACATTATTTTAGCTTTAATATAGGAAAACTTGGTGAAAAATTTGGTGACTCCGTGGCGCAGTGGCCAAGGTATCGGCTTCGGCGTCGGGGGTGCTAGGTTCGAATCCCACACGGGACGACTATTTGTGTGATCCACAGATAGTTGTTTCGCATCTGGTTTGTCCGCGTGAAATTTATGCTTGTAAAACGTCCTTACAACACAGAATAAAGTTATCCTAAAGTAAGGGCAGTGTTTAAAAAAAAACATAGGTATAAATACATACATAAATATAAAACAGGATATTATATAAACATTTGATATTATATTGTTATCATCTGTCAATCATTTATATTTGTATCATATATACAATCATAAATATTTTTTTCTTTTAATTTAAAGAAAATTTTGATATTTCAAAATACCATAATGTTTGAAAGAATAGTAATTAAATCAATTGAATAAATGTTTATTAGAAAGATATTCTGCTTGAATGGACTCGTAAGAATTGGACATAATAGAAAATATCTCAGAGTTTATATGCCGCAAATAAACTAAACTCCTTTTCACATACACGTTTCTAAATTCCTTTTCACATACATTATTGAGTTTAAGACGATTTGCATGTCAAAGACACATTCTACAAAAGTTATTACTGGTTTTACATAAATAGGTTAGAGCTAGCTATATACTTTACGATCCCCAAAAATATCTTCACATGCATACCGATAGTTGGCTTTACTATAGATAGATTTTGTTGCAGTTTTCGCTACAATCTTCATTAAAATACACTTTTGGCTACAATTTTTAGACACCCATGACCGTAATAATTTCATTTCGGCAGAGAGAAACAACTTTCTGTGTTAATTACCAATATGTCTATTGAAATCTTTCACCGAATTTTTATCGTAATATAATAAAAAATCTCTAACCAGACACTGTTATCGAAAACCATAACGATTTTGACTTTGGATTACAAAACTTAAAAAGAAACAAAAAATCTATAAATGTTTTTTTTATTTACACACATTCTTATATTTCAAGTGACAATCACTCTTAAGTTACATCCACCTACTCATATTTAGTTAATAAATAACGAAAAATTTTCGTTAAATATAATTATGAAGCATCTGTCCACAAATATCACAGTTTGATGACTGCCTATTTACATATAAACTTTTTATTTATATAAATTTTACAATTTTTTCTCAAATATTTTATTTACATTATTATTATTGATATTACAATTAGAAGGGAGAAGCTTAAGAATACTCTCGAATTCATTTATTCATGTCGGGCAGTGTATACATTTTTATCTTAAGAAAAATCCTCGATAGTAATATCTCGGTAGCGCTGGACCTGTAAACAAAAATTCATATTATTCATTATCATAGAATAAACCGTACAATACAAGGTTTTTTTTGGCTGGATCAACCACTGTTGGCCTCGCGAGGCCTTTACAGATCCACCGGGCGTGAAGTGGCCGGGCGCTGAGGGCGCCTCGCCTGTACCTCGAATATAAGTGACTTAACTCGAGGGCTCCCGTGGGAGCCTCGGCTCGGGCCGTCATGCTATTATTATTTTAACCGGTTTGAGACGTTGCCAGGCTCTTAGGTCGCTTTGGCGGACGCTCTATGGAGTCGCTAGGCTCAAGGGCGCCAGAGAGGGGACCTGGGCTTGGGCAATTAGTTACTCAGTACCCGTATAGCAGTCCGATTCGAGTGTGCCCGAGAGGGGCGGACCTCGGCTCAATCGGTAGCAGAAGAATTTCTAAAGCTACCATCACTACCACTTCGGCAAGCATTGGTGCTGGGAGAAGAAGTGGCGGAAGAAACTTCAGCAACGCTTCTGTCATTTACGGGGGAAAACCTGCCAGGTATGTGGCGGAATCTAGTATATGATTGCCGCACTCACCGGTGGTGCTTTCGTGTGTTTGCGTAATTGCTTTGTTATGTCGACGGTGACAGTCGTCTCTTCGTCGGGGAAATATAGGACGTGCCGCGGTCTAAGCCATTTGCTGCGAAACGTACCTAGAGGTAGGGGTCTGTTGGTGACGGCACCTACGACTAACGGATTGGGATGCGCGGCGGCGAACTCAAAATAGCGGCGCGACGCCAACTTCAGAACTTGAGTGGTGTGCAGCTCTAAATCTACATATAAGTCGATTTTGCGCTTGAACGGCGGTGCTCCCGTAGCTGTGCTCAAAAATCGATTCTGGTTGACCTGAACCGGTGTATTCGCTTTGAAGCAATGTGCGCGAAAACCGGACGCCGACAATACAAGGAGCAACTTTTACCAATAAAACTGTTGATAATTAGACTACAGCATATTTTATGTGAAAATTTGTCAAGCGAAAAGTCGGTTCACCTGATGATAGATGGTTACTGCCGCCCATGGACATCTAAATCACCCAAGCGCGTTGCAGATTCGTTGACAACCTTTAAAATAAGTAGGCCTCCGATCAGCTTAGCTCTTGCAGACAATTAGTTTTTAACATAAACACGTCTTCCGGATTCGTGCCTAGACGCTATTTATTACCACATAGCTAAAGGGCTCATTTCCTGGAGAAAAAAATGTTTCGTATGTTTTTCTGTTCATACTAATAATTGTTATTAATTTTAATAAACTACAATTGTTTGTATAACTTTTGGGGAAAACAATCCCTTGTCAGTGCACTCGTGTCGGATTTCACGCTCACCGGGTCGGAAATGCACAAAGTTTCCTTTTGTGGCGTTTCTCATAACTTGATTTGTGACAGCGCAACCCTTCGGGCGGGTTCCGGCGCGGCGCCGCCGCGGCGCGACGCCTCGCTTCCGTAGCAATACTGCGCGGGGCACTTCTACGCGAGTGCTACGCGAGAGAATGACGTAATTGAACTTATGATCAACTTACTGATACCTTCGACTTCGTCTGCGTTGCTTATTACATGGACAATCCGGTTTATCTAGCACAGCAACAAATAGTGCTCATAAATTGTTGTTTTTTTTTTTTTTAAATTTATAATTGTACATTAAATAAAAATATCACAATAATTTTAAGTTTACGTAAGGGCCAAGTGTCAAAGAAGTAAAACTTAGTTATTATACTTATAAATCACCTTAAAGTTTTGTTTAAAACATTGAGATTAGGTTCTGCTTTTAGTTCTTGTCTTGTGTATCTTTCAAGTGTCATTTAGTTAACGATTGTTATATGTTTGCCATAGAACATTTAATATTTTTACAGCGTTGTTCTTTTCGAACAGTGATGATTTTTCATAGCTGATGGCTTTTAAAAGAGAGTATGTTGGAATTAAGTCTTAATCAGCCGTCTCGTAAAATTCACATTTCGTTCTTTAAATTTCTAGACCCTACGGACGGTATTCTTAGTAAACTAACCTTATAAAATCTTTTTATTATCATCCTCTATGTTTCAATGTTTGAAACAACAAAACAATTCCGATGTGAACCAAGTTTATAATTTATGTAAATGTCATTCTCGACGAAACAGATTACAGCGCGAAAAGCGCACAGTTTACATTTGTTTACACAGATACAGCGAGGAAAGTCTTAATGTATATGTAACTGTTTATGCTTTCTTTGCCGTATGCCGAACATGTTGGCAAATTTAAATCTATGCACTCTGAATCAGCAGGTATAAAATAGGCACGCAGACCTGCCCATAGCGTGGGATAACGACAGAAAGTTAAAAAAAATACGACACGCTTTGAGTGCTATGCGACGTGAAAGTAATTTTCGTGAACATCAAAGGCAGCTTTTTATCCATCAGTGCAATATACCTAAAATAAATGTGCAGGCTTCATGTGTATTGAAACATGTTTGATGTATTAAAGGCAGGGTTTAATATCGATCTCATACGCAGGCTTCATCGGTAATAAAGTGGTAGGCCTATATACATGTTCAATGGTTTCATGTAAAATGCTGTTCTATTAAGATTTATTGAGATATTCGTTCCTTGCAAAGAGACTAGTATAAAAATATTCTTCTTTTTAAGTTAAGCAAAGTTATATTTCATCTATTTATTGCATTATTAGAATAGATATTGCCCGTCATAAAATTAATTATGTTTGATGATTTATTCCATTGGGATACAATGTCAGACAAGATACCATTTAAAAATTACTGTTATATTACCTTAATTTAATATTCCTAGAGGCTTATCGCATTTTCGACAACTAAGTTCACTGCGAAAGAAAAACAGCTGTGGCAAAAAAAATCTCCTTTAAATAACAACTACCTACATTAATGCATATTTAGTTGTTAATGAATACCTTTCTTTTATGTGGATAAAAAAAAACGATAATGTTGGAACAAGAAGTTCTTGTGATCAGACAAATAAATTAAGATCAATAAAACATATACTGTTAAAAGGGCGACAACAAAGTAAAAAAAATAATTTATAAAAATACCGATAGAGAATAAAAATATATATTTTTCATTATGTTAAATATAATGCTACCGAATGTTATTATTTTTCCAAAATTTCCCTTTAAATAGATCTTGCAAACGTCATACTGTAAGTCTTAAAATCCTTGAGGACAACATTGATGAAGTAGAGTAAATAATAAATAATAATAATAATAAATAATAATAATAATAAATAATAATAATAATCATGTTAATGTTCAAAAAGAAGAGTTATGTGTCGGAAACAGGCTTGATAGGTTGTGGAATATGGCATATATTAACAATATTAACCTTTGGTATTATTTAAACAGTTTTTTTCCTAGTAAAGTTTTGACGCCTTGGGTGCGATTTTATAAATATACAAAACGCTTATTTTAATCGTTTTATTGGTGTAGACTACATCAATAAAAAGAATAAAAGAATATTAAAAAAAATAAACGGTCTGCTACATCATGTAATAGGCCATCCGCTTATTATTTTAAATATATGTAATAAAATTAATATAAGAATGAATTTATATTCTTATACTTATATACTTACATCCTTCTATTTTACTTATGTATACACATGTACGTATGTCTGTACATGTTGGTATTTTTTAGATTTATTACTTAATTATTACATATTTGATTAGCGTTTACAACTAACTACTTTACTGCCCTTGTCATAATGTTTCCGGTCTACACGGGGTTAGCTGGTAGAGAATGCAATATAGCATTCAGCTCGCCTTTGTACAATTTTTAGTGCAATAAAGATTAAATAAATAAAAAAAATAAAATCAATAAACTTTTATTACACAAATTCAAAGTCTTTGAATTATATACACCTAGATATATAATTTATTTATTTTAATTTCTTTTAAAGCTGACGATATTTTTATAAACAGCAACGAAAATAATGCTATCCTGTCAGAGATCTCATATTTATAGCGGTTCATATAGGTTCTATGCATCTGGCGTAATTAATTGTAATAAAAATATGCTAATAAGTTACGTCAGGCGCATACGTGTAGTTCTAAATAAATACGATAACCTAGAGTTAAAGTTGACATGTCTCATCAAGTCACCTCACTTAATTCTGAACTATTGAGTTTGTAGTGATGACTCAATTTTATGGACTTTTTGTGCAGAAATTATCATAACTACGATGACATAGGAACTTTTAAAAGTTGTCTTATGTTTTACACTACAAACTTATAAAACATTTGACAAACAACAATTAATCTTCTTAATATATGTGAAAAATTATTTTATTAATAATAATTTTCAATAAAACTTAATGGCAATGAAAAAATGCTATTTTCTATAATATTACCTACACATTAGAAATACGGTTTTCTCCCATATCTAATAAAATTGATTAGCATGTATTTTTCGAGGAAATAGACTATATACATCGTGAAGTTTAAAATATACAACTTACTAATATAAACAATTTTATAAAATTTGAAAAAGATAACAATTTTTTATCTATTCTGTATTCATACTTTTTGCTGGAATTGATAAAATTTTAAATGTAATTGATGGGTAGCTTGGGTCTGCAAAGCAATTTTTGTTTTGGTTGTTCTAGACCTAAAATAATAACGACTTTGGTGCAAACTCTCGAAATTTTAATTATTTACCATGTTGGTTTGTGCCGTGATTTTATTCAGTTGCTATTTAAAGACAATTCGATTCAGGTATAATTCTTTCTTCACACTTCATGTTTATTCTCAGTTTGATAAAATTTTACAGAAGCACGTGCAATATGATAATAATAAATAATAATAAAAATATCTTTATTCACATAGACGCTTGCGCGTTCTTATGAAACGTCAAAATTTTACAAGAAATGAACACGTTCGTAAGTTACCACCGGTTCGGAAAGCAGTTTCTGTTGAGAAGAAACCGGCAAGAAACTCAACAGTTGCTCTTTTTAAAAAAAAAATCAGTTTACAATATAATAGTACATGTACAATAGTCTTGTTTTAGCCTACGTGAGTATCAACAGTATTAACCCCACACATTGGCGTCGTCAAGATATTCAGCAATAGAATAATAGGCTTTAGCCATAAGTTTACTTTTAATTTTTCGTTTAAATTCATCAAGTGGCAGACTTAATATCGACTGTGGGATTTTATTATACATGCGCACACCTTGCCCCATGAACGACCTGTTTACTTTTTGTAAACGAAACAATGGCGTAGTTAGTTTGTCCTTATTTCTAGTATTTAGTTTATGTCTGTCACTATTCTTTAGATAACTATTAATATTATTTTTAACATACAAAATGTTACAATAAATATATTGAGACGCAACAGTGAGTATATTAATCTCTTTAAAAAGGTCTCTGAGTGTATTCCGGGCTCCGATGTTATAAATTGCTCGGACAGCTCTTTTTTGAAGAATAAATATAGAATTTATATCAGATGGTTGAAAGAAGCCGATATAAATTTCGTACATGAAAAATATCTGTAAGAATATTTTGGCTATGGTTTTTTCACAGGCGTAAAAGGTATGGGATCGATAAAAATGTTCGAAGTAAAATTATAGAAATTCAGTGTACAATTGAAGTTTACATTTATTTTCAACTACAGTTTTATTAGTGTCAATATTATTAAAAAAAAATTTTGCAGTCCAATAAATAAATAAACAAAATGAAAAATAAAAATAAAAAAGCCTTTTATTTCACACCTAATTGTGATACTGATCGTTCCCACGTGTAAAAATCAAATCAGCACCACCTAGCGTTGTCCAATACCTCGCATTAAATTGTTTCATGTACTGATTTATTTTTGTTCTGGGGGATGATTTCTTTAGCAATAATCAAGACATTTTAATAAATTTTTAAATTTTTTATTTAATTATTAAAATATATTTTTTTTTTAATTATGTCTTTGGCATTTATGTCTGAGCAATTAGAAAATGTTTTAAATACGCCAACTCACGTTTGCTAATTAGCGCTTAGCTAACATCAAACACTTTCACTTGAGCAGCTCAGTCTTATTGACGTTATAATGTGACTAATAGACTAAATGAATAACTAAATCAGATAATCGAAGTTCTTAAATGTGGCACTATTACTCTGTAATAAATTATAAAAAATTATAAACAAATTCCACATTTAAGTTGCGTAGACCGAGTGCCATAAATGGTCCCTTTACTTTCACTTTATTTCCTATTTCATCAAATAATATAGGACCTACACGATCCTCATAACTTTTAATTGAACTTTACGCTATTATCGAAGAGTTATAAATGAAAACCATTGGCAACTTATCTTCCACACTTATTTTTCTGTCACAAAAATATTTTAACACGAACCTTCACCGGAACTGAGTTGCGAAAGGCAAAAACGTTTAATTAATTTTCGCTTCACACATGACATCACTCCCTCGATTTCAATATAACGAACAAATAAATATGCATTAGACAAATATAACAAAGGCCGGCTAGAAATGGCGGAGGCGGGTGTGCCCCAATTAACTTTACACAGTGAGTCCAAACTCTTTTATTAAATCATAAAACGTACGGACCGCTGGCCCCCGCCCGCCGTTGGGCCCGATATGTCAATTTCATAATTAAAATGCGTTTGACCGTGCTACGAAGGGCCGCTAGATTAAGAGAACGCCAAAATTGAATGTTGCCCGAATGAGCTGGCATTCAACCTCGAAAGTATAAACGGAGTCAATGAGAAATTTCGACAACAATTAAATAAGTAACCTCATGAACAATTGGGGCCCTTCGGCGATTCGTTTAACTAGTTCATTTCATATCACTGTGTGTGCTTCTTATAAAATTAAAATATGTATATATTTAAGGAAGATACAAAGCATTTTTCTAAATCCCTATACATAAACAATTCAAACTTAGATAACTTAGTTTATCACTTATGATAAATATTATTTTCACACGTTATGTAATAGCAAATTGAATCCAGTATATTATTATTTTTTATTTCTATAAGCATAATAAAACAAATACTCTTTGTACCTTCCAAAGCGAACAACCAAGCAGTTGAAATTAAAAAGCAGTTACTGACGCCAATAAGTAATCAACGGGGCTTTGGCCTTAAAATTTAAAAGATCGTGGCACTTTTCAAAGACACTTCCAAAAAAAACGCATGAATGCAAGAGGGAAAAGAATGGCTCCCAACGTTCTATCTATCGTTCGGCATGACAGTGTGAAGGTCAATCTATTCGCTTGCGCACGCACTCTTGCCGGAACGCACTGTCGTGATTACTTAACAAATAACCAACAAAATAATCGTTAGAATATAAGCTTATGAATTTTTCGCAATGTCAAGTCGTCAAATATCGTCAATGACGGCTCAAAATGGACAGCAGTATCAATTTAATATTGTGTCAAACATATTTAAAAGAACCTATTAGAAAGAACACAATGACTAAGTATTGGGAAATAATAATTTTCTATAGCAACCATAGTTTTAACTTTATTTATTTAATTGTTGAAATGAATTCTTGATAAATATTAAGCCTCTTCTTCTTCTTCAACTTAACAACAAACGAAGCAACCATAGGGCTTGTTTTGTTAGACGATAAACTGTCGGACGACAACATATACCAGACGCTTTCCCTGCTCAAGAAGTATACTAACCACACGTTTAGTAATGTATAGTAGAAATACTCATTTCGCCTGTATATTTATACAAATAATTTCTTCCAATAAGAGTAACGAAATATTTAAAAATAATGAAATAACAATCGGAAATTCAATTCTAAAAAATGTAAACTTAACCCTTAATTTTCACGTTAAAGTTTCTAACGTCATGCGTTATTTTAATAAGGCATGCAATAAAATGTACTAGTGCTTAACAAAATTGGGCTGTGCCACCAGATTTAAAAGGGTCTTCATGCAGTAAAATTCTACCTCTCAACTATTTTGAAGCATTTGGGAATTCTAATAAAACAGTAACCAATTCTTATTATTTATTTTAAAATAAATATTTACACTGGCTATTTACAACTGTATTCACAACATTATAAATAAAATAACAAAATAAATTAACAGAAGACAAAATTAACCACACTGTCTGATCATGCATAAATGAAATAAAAATTGACAAAAAATAAAACACATGTGATTAATATTAACTAATACACGTCAAAAGATATCCAGCGCGTTGGGGAATTCGTGCAATGCTAACAAAACATGCATTTATTAAAGCTTGCACTATTTTAATTACATAAAAAGAAATAAAATTATAACTGCATACTATTCTGTTTGAAATTGTAACAATGAAGAAAATGTTATTTGTATTAATTTGTGTTAAAGACACGAAACAACCTAAAAGTACAATCGATCATGGCTTCGCATCTTTAACATCTGAATACAGGCTATCAGAATAGTACACAGCTTGGAGAATTAACAACGAGGAGGTGGCGTGATCAACATTAGTGCTAACTACAATTGACTAGGGGTATTCATCGACCGTAAGGTTTACCTTGGGAGCCGGGCGGCACAAATCCATACCCGGAAGCCCCAGCAACTACACCACTGGTCTGCAGCGGACCAGTTGCAGGTGATGGAGGGAATAGCACCGGCCCTGGAATTGAAATACATTTGGTATCAGTGGAAGGTCGTAACGGCTTCATGGGACATGAGATTTCGAATCTTAATCACAGGTTCCAATAAGTTACCAGTTTTGATGTGCATCAATATCTATATCTACTTTTTGTCAGCGAGCTCTTCTTACTTCTTATAACAACAGAAGACTACAATCATTCCATCCGACTCTATGTCATTAGAGTAATTCTATTGGCAATCACTCTAAATAAGTGTTCCAACTCTAAAATCCAAACTGTTTTAATTTAGGTTTAAAATTACTAAAAAAAAACAATATATTAAAGATTTAAATGTTTTAAGAGGGATGACAAGTTATAACATGTCTTAATATATTTTTTTAATTTAAAACTCATACCTTATTCGTATTAAAGCAAGACCAGAAACTAAAAAAAATATTAAATAAATTGATAAACAATAAAATATTTAATTAACTTCGAAGTAATACAGTCATAATAAACTTTATATTAACCTTTCCTTGCACTTACGCATGCAATATCCGTTTTAAATTCAATTACATACGTGTAATTAATTAACCGGAAGAAGTGGCCAGGTCTTCGCAACTTTGTATTTTACATTTACCATTTAAAAGTCAAGACTAGTTATGAAGAAGGAGGTCAGCGCTAGATTATTTAATACCTATATGACCAGTATTAAATAATATTGACAGACGTTCGAAAAAAAATTGTAAAGAATTAATAAAAAACTATTCAATAATGATTTTATTTAAACGAAGTAAATATATTTACGCAATTCATAATATGCAAATACGCTCCATTAATCATAATATTATTCTTATTAAGCTGTTGCTTTTTTGAAAATTTAGCTAAACGAATCTGCGCCGAAGAACATGAAATCAAATTCTAGACACGGTGATTATATGTGCTACATACAAAATGTCGTGTCGCATATGTGACATGACTACAAAGCATCAAAACGAGAGCAAGATAAACAGATCTGGTCATCGTGTTAGGGAAAGTGACAAAAGGGGAATCTGAATTTATACCGTAATGCGAACGACGTCAAGCACAAAGTATGTCTAATGCTGCAGCCATAACACGGCCGCCATTTCTCGTGGCAGAAATAAACTAAGTTCTGAGTCATATCCATACCTTCCGCAATAATTTCATATGCGTGATCCCTAACACTAATAAAAAGTGGAATAGAAGGTATAATAACTGTATTTTACCTTCTATAATTAAATTACTTTCTATTCAACTAACTACAATTTATTTATTAACATTTGATTTTTAAAACATGTAGAAAAGGTACGAAAAGATTGTCGCCGCTGTGGGAATCGAACCCACATCTTGGGCATTCGATTGTTTATCGTTCAATGTTGAATTGTTATTTACTGTGACGATGAAAAATAAGCTCATCTTGAGATTTTATTATTTTAAGGCTGATGTAGTTTTTGTTATACTTTTTTTTTTTTTTTTATGTGAGAAGTTGCCAAACGAGCAGACGGTTCACTTGATGTAAAGTGAATACCGCCGCCCATGGACATTCGTTACACCCTAGGGTTCCAGATGTGTTGACAACTTCCTCCGGCTTCGGCTACCTAACTGACCAGACAAAACGCGAAATTATTACACTTCCACTTTACGCCGGTCTTCTGTGAGGTCGTGGTACTTACCCGGACGAGCCTGCCCATTCGTGCAACAGCCGAGGCTGCTGCGTGGCCCTACCACCTTGTTTTATTAAGTTTGCATAATTATCACTACATAGTATAAAACAAAGTCGTCCCGCTGTCTGTCTGTGCTTATGTACGCTTAAATCTTTAAAACTACGCAGCGGATCTTTATGCGGTTATTTTTACTCGATAGAGTGATTCAAGAGGAAGGCTTAGCTGTATAATACATTGCACCCGGGGCGGGTCGCTAGTATACTATATTGTATAATTGTATCATCAAACGTTTTTTGTGCAGGAGCATAACAGAAGAATTCCTTAAGTGGGTCACTACGAATAACTAAATGAGTAATGATGCGACGCTTGTTCATTGTGTCGGTATAATGTGATTTGACGGGTAAACATCATATTGCATTAAGAAGCGATTAAACGGATTTGTGGTTTGCGTTCAAAATTATCTATAATTACATCGAGCAATCCGTTAAGGCGGTAAAGTATTGGGTGCAAATTTCGTCAGCCTTTATCAAGTACGTAACAATCAAATCTGAATTCAAAATTACATAGCACCGGACATGAGACAGATACATTCTTTTCTATGTTACGAGTAACGGGTGGGCAACAATAACAATTGTTTTATTTTGTGTTTCAAGGATTTTATCCGATAGAAAGACCATGGCGACATTGCAGTCAAGGTGTTTAAACGATTTATAACAAAAATTATGTAACATTCAGATGTACGTTCCATTAGTACTGACCAAATATTAATCAAAATGAAAATTACCACCCACATAACAAACATTAACAACGATATCATTAAAGTTGATGTAGCAATTCATATTGATTGCATCAACTGTTCTGCTTCTCTTAAAAATGCCTACGAAAATATAGTGTGACGTAATATTTATTAAGTGGTATGTGTTACTAAGCTAGTGCAACTGGTTTAGAAGCGTTTTTTAGTCTGTTCCTAAAAAAAATTCAATCTCTTTACGTCGATTCTAAAATTTTAACACAAATTAAATAGAAGTTTTCTCTGCAGTTCCTTTATTATATCGGTCCAATACGTGTTACTACACCTCTGCTTATCGAAACGATTAATTACTTTCGCTTTAAAGTCAAAATATTTAAAGAAAGATATTCTTTCCATTATTGGTTTTACCAATCTCGTATTTTTATATGTTTAACTTTTTTTGTTTTATAATTAATTATGGATCACGTATGCGTATATCTTATCTTAACTTATCTTGTAATAATGTAACGGCTCCACTTTTTCTGGTTAAGTGGACACAAATTTTGCCATAACAACACAGCACATTACGTCTAAAACATCTACACTGTACATTTTTTTCACGTAAAATCACTTTTTTGTTTCTTTATTAATTACTTCATAATTTTTAATATTGTGCAATAAAGCGTTTTTAACTAACTTGAAATTTAACAGTCTTATGATTTTATTTTATATTTTTTTATGTAATTCCATTTATTTAGTATAACCATTTATTTCGCCCATGATTGTTGTTTGCTTTTTTGTCAAAGTAAATTTCAGGTATGTGTCTATTTTATAAATGTATATCGAATACGTCTTCGGTTCTCATTTAAATGCAATACGGATTATGACACAATATTTGAACAGAGTAATTATTGTAATTGGATATGTTGCCGACGCGAGAATAATCGCCCCGTTAGCACGCTGCTGTATTACACACGTGTTGCTTAAGACCAACGTGACATTGAAACATCGCGAAACAGGGCGAAGACCGTAACCGAAGACAAGCTGCTCTTTATTTCACGTCAACGTGACGATTAATTTTATACCTTAACAAGGTAAAAAATAAAAAAAGGCTAATCTTACTCAGTGGAATTAAAACATGTAAAAAGGACGATTTTTAAATGCCACTTCAATTATGTACTAGTGCTATTCCATGCTACTCCGTTTAAGTTTAAATAACGTCCCGAAGTCGTATCGTTACCCAAAGGCTGTAAAGTAGCCTCTATCACTTCTATGTTGTACATAACATCCACTTATAGGTAATTAAAATCGCCAGTTTCATTGTTATCGCGAGATAACATCGTGTAAACTCCTTGCGAAATTTAGGTTTAACAGTGTAAGTGCAGACAATTAAACATTGCATTACAACAATTAAAAAGTTGCTTTAAGCTTTATTTCATTCCAAAAAGGGCACAGTGTTTAATATGGCTATAAATAGCCACGCGTACACCCATTTATTGTGTATCATAATATATCATATGTATATGTCATATATTTCACGGTGGTAGGTCCACACAGTAGCCTCGGCTTTTGCACGAATGGGCAGGCTCGTCCGGGTAAGTACCACGACCTCACAAAAAACCGGTGTAAAGTGGAAGTATAATACTGTCGCGTTTCGTCTGGTGAGTGACGTGGCCAGAGCCCAATTTTCAAAAGGTAGTCAACGTATCTGGTACCCTCTGGTGTAGCAGATGTCCATCGGCGGCGGTATTCACTTAACATCAGGTGAACCGTCTCCTCGCTTGGCAACTTTTCACATAAAAAAAATATTTTAATAACCATTTAATTTGTCTTCTTCCAGCGTAAGTAAGTTTACTGAATCTAAATTCAATGTATGTTGTAATGAGTTTTTGATTATGAATTTATTTTTGATTTAGAAACTAGAGTACTCGTATCATTAGTGTCTGCTTATTTTCATTCATGTCTCAATAATTGCTTTGTCACATACAGACTTCATAAAGTCCGACCAAACCACAGTGGGGTCGCGTGGACCAATCCAATTAATGTGAAAAGTTTTTATTGCAATAAACTATGATGCAGGTTGACTGTGTTTGATGTCAATGTGGTGTGGAGAAGAGATTCTCGACACTTGATTATAATGTTAAAGATTTAACCTAAGCCTAATTTAATGCACCGCCAACGTCAATTTATAGGTTTGACGACCCGAATGGCGTAGTGGGTAGTGTACCTGCCTCCTGTGCCCGAGGGTGTGGGTTCAATCCCCACTACTGGAAAAATATTGTGTGATGAACATAGTCTTTTTCTATTGTCTGGATGTTTATATATGTATAATATGTATTTATTTACAAAAAAAAGTATGTTTAAGTATGTTTATCAGTTTTCTAGTACCCATAGTACAAGTGTTGCTTAGTTTGGGACTAGAAAATGTTGTGTTAAAATGGGTCCTAAAAATATTTATTATTATTTATATATATACGTATATTTATAGGTAAAGAGCAAACAAAGGAAAACAATCCAAACATTGACTCCATATAAACGAAACAATTATAGCAGTCAACCTTTTTTCTGTTGAAATATGTAACGAGGCGAATCATTAACATTCAATTATGTAAGCATAACAGGTTCGCCATCTATGAATAGACGTTTGCACTCGGGGCATCAACTCTTGCATTTCAATGTTATAAATTACAATATTCGCCTGTGCGTCGCATATTGCAAGATTAGTACTAGTCTTTGCACTTAAGGTGAAACTTAAAATGTTTAGATAAAACTCTCGCAAAATTTTTTGCCGGCCAGGATTCAAACCTGTGCCTTCCGGAATAAGCGTCAAGACGCTCTAACTATAAGGCAATCGGTCAATAATTGTTAATAGGGCTTTATCAAGCAAAATTTTTAATACTTTAACCAATGTACAGCTATTTCAGTAGTTAAAAATATATCATACGAAAGATATTAGTCGATATTCACTCTTTTCATTTATCTCCAATCATCTTCATGGGAACCATCTTCCAATTAGTTCCATAATTGTATATAAGAACCCAAAGAATTAATATGAGAAAAGAATCTTATAACACTAATGAATTACTAACGCAAATACGACAAGATATACAATTCTATTGAATTCTTAGAATGAGAGGGTTACAAACAATGAAATATTTTATCAACCTTCACTAGTCTACTAACTATTGTTTCTTCGTAAGCGAATATTAGTCACGGCTCAAAATTTGAACCCGGAATTCACTAAACAGGCGTGGTACCCTTAAGCTACACGGCCTTTAGAATTTGATACTGTTGGCTATACAATTGTAATGGTTTATTTAATTCAATTCAATTCGTTATTTGCAATACATATTTACTCTAGAAATTCAGGATAGGAAACGGAACTAAGTTGTCATTAAGGTTGTGGTATTAAAATATGAATGTTTAGATTATGGTGGAACTGTATTTGTATGGACTGTTAAAATACCATGGATGAAAATTGGCTTAAATGTAATTAACTTTAATAGAGAATATTGTATTTTTTTTTTCTTTTATTATTGCTAACCTTAAAAAATGTGAATAAAGGGCGAACTTAATGCCCAAAGGCATTCTATACCACTCAATAATAAAGATCTTTTCTGAATCGTCCTTTAGTTTATTCCATTAGAATCTTTAGTCGTTTTAATCAAAGTCTTTGGGGCAGAAATGTCGTGTATGTAAATAAACTTACAAGGATATTGACCTAGTTTGTTTACTAAATTGCTACTTGCTAACAGACTGGATTGTTGTCCAATACTATGTAACAAAGAAATGGTGTTCTTTGATGAGCAGGTTGCTGAGTTGGCTTGAGCAAGCCAACTGAGCAACCTGCTGATTTTTAAATAAAGGTAAGCGATATTAACGTCTGAAAGCAGCAATCATTTAGAGTATAACTTGGTCGGCTGAAGTTATAAGAATTTCCAAGAGTCTTTGTCTGTACAGTAGAATACTATAACAAACAACTGACAGATTATGACCCATTTTTCCGAGCCTAACAACAAACTAGCCTTAGATATTTAAAGTTTTTTTATAGTGCTAATCTCTCCACTAATTTAAATTAAATTTAAAAAAAGAATGAAAAGATTGTCATGCTATGGGAATAACTTCGAACGAAAGATGTCGCCATTGCTTTTTAGAAATTTAAAGTTTTTTTATAGTGCTAATCTTTCCACTAATTTAAATTAAATTTAAAAATAAATTGCATTTAAAATCTAAAGATTAAACATTAAAACTTGTAGAAAAAGAACGAAAATATTGTCGCCGCTGTGGGAATCGAACCCACGTCTTCGGCATTCTTTTCATTCTTTTTCTACAAGTTTTAATGTCTAGCCTTAGATGTTAGAATTTTGAACTTCAAAAAATGAACAAGGCTTAGACATGAGGATATACAAAGCGCAGACTACAGCAAGTAAAATAAGACCTCGTTACAGATCTTAATAAGGAAAAAGATCTTACCTCTGTTCGCTCTTGGGTCTCTGGCAGCGGCAGCCGACAAGCTGCTATAGCTGGGGACCCCAAAGCTTGTGCCAAAGTAACCATCTGAGAAGCCGCCCCCGAAGTGGCCAAACTGCGCCGCGGAGTATGCGAAGCATCCGCTGATTATCAATAACTGTGAACAAATTCGTCTTTAATTACCATTCAAACTACACTATTTTTAATATTCTAACGTTTCGAAAGTCCATTTATCATACCGACCTCGCCTAGCAAAGTGATTGTATTGAAAATAGCGTTTAAATCACTATTTCCATTAATTTAAGGCAGGTAATAATTAAGACTTACGAATATCAAATTATAAGTAACATGTAACTTGCTGGCCTGTTGGTAATAAAAGGGACATTTTTCACGCTAAATAATGAACAATTACAATGTTCCATGGTTTTCACCCTTATAAGAGTGTTCCCTTATTAATTTGTTCATTCATATCGCTGCTCGCAGGAATATTGCAAAAATAATACCTTCATGTAATTACATGAACTTAAAGCTATCATTAAGTTATTTATATTACTCAAGCATAAGATAGCTAAACATAACGTTGTGTAAAAATGTGTCCTAAAATATTATTATATATTTTATTTATAAATGTTCGAATTAGAATAGTTTCAGTTTTTCCAGTGATTGCCCATCGGTTAATAATAATGAAGTAAGTTTAATCGTGCAAAATATCATAGTATTAATAATGTCAAAGCCTAAACGATAGAAAAGTTATCACAGTTTGATGTAGATTATAATAATATTGCCTGCATTTACAACCCAATCTAATAAACGCCAAAAGGACTTCCGCAAACTTAACCAAGCTATAACTAACACCGATTGAATTGTTTCATAAACTTTGTTTTATATCGACAACAAGTGTTTCGTTATTAACTCAATTAATTATACGTGTACATAGAATAAAATAAAAATGCTTCTGTTAAATAAAAAGATAGAAAGTAAAGGTGGATAAAGTCGTACCTTTTGTTTATCTCTAGTTTTATTTATTGGCAATATTACATATTCAACACAAGATAATTATTTATAACAGATTTAAAACATTTAGAAACCAGGATTTGGAGATGATTCTTAGTCCTAAATCTTAATTTATGAGTAGTGAGTGCAAGTTCCATCAGTGTATTAATTCCATTGAAGTACTTCTAGCAAATTCTATAAGCAAACTTCGAAATGAACACAGTATGTGTGTGTCAGATTTTTATTCATACTTCCCAACTTTTTCTATGTTGAGCAGCGTAATCCGCGTATAAATTGCAAGCGGCTGACGGGTGAACCGCGGAAACATGTTAATTCATTACGTAAGCGGGCACACACGCGTTCAAACATATCGTACCAACTGGTTTAGAATCAAAACAGGTGCCTGAACTTGGTATGTGACCTCAACCGAGGCCCGTGCGAAGGCGGGCCACTTGTGAACTCCGATATACGGTCAGCTGATTGCCGCTTAGTCAACGTGTGCTCAATTTTGCTGTACGCGTGTGACGTTGGAGTTTGATTTTCCTTCTCTGTTTAACTGTTATCATTCCAATGTTGAAAATACGATACAATGGGAACAGGATTGACATCAAGATTGCATGAAGCTTGTTACCGAACAAAGCCACTGTGCTTCCAATTTGTAACTTCGTGGTTCGAACCAATAAAAGCTGTTTAGAAAACAGGAAAAACTGAATCTAAAGTCTAATTTACTATTGAAAACAACGATTAAGAGTATATAAGTTATGACAAGAATTATGAGTTATTGGTTAAAAAATATTATTTTCCACTTCTGACATTTATAAATAAATTGCAAATCATTTAGTTCAACCTTAATCGCAAAAGTCCTTGTAAGGACGCTTACATTTCGGTGGACCAATAATGTTAAAAATTATTTTGATAATGGTTTGAACGAGGTTGGCCATAAATTTTACTAAAACCTATTGCAAGATTACGCTGAAAATAATTAGAACTGGTCTGAGCAATATCCATGTTTATCGCTATAATAGCTACACCTACATAATTTTATCGCAAGCTCAGTTTCATCAATGCTACGCTTAGGGCCAGTTTCAACACTTCCTGGTGTACCTATGTTATTTGTTACATAAATTGTTAGATGCGATTTCGAAATACCATGCCCGTGGTTAATAAATAGTGTAGTGCGAAATCATGCTAGCTCTGTTTGGACGTTTGTTAAACTCTTAGCTGCAAATGATTGTTCTGGATCTAAGAGTTTGTTTCTTTTTAAATTATATATGTAAAGTAAATATTACATACTTATATATTATTGTATTTCGGACTTTCTTTTGCACCTTCGTCACATTTTCACTACTCCCAAGGTTGTCTGGAAGAGAATGCAATGAAGAAAAACTACGCTTAATATTTTAAACCATTTTTGTGTGAAAAAGAAGCAAGCAAGCTGGTGGTTCACCTGCTGTTAAGTAATAACCGTAATCCATGGGGGCTTGTAACACATGTAGGATCCCAGATGCGTTGCCACCTTTTAAGTGGGTCCCTCTTACCTCACACACTAAACGAAACGCGAAAATACAATATTTCCACTTCCCTTCATTTTTCCGTGAGGTCGTGGTACTTTCTCGGATGGCCTATTCGTGCAACACCTGCTGCATGGCCCAACCACAGAATTCAATTTACGAAATAATTGACGTCTATTCCATGTCTTTTATATGACAAATTCAAGAAACGTAAACCTTAATGTGCTATGATTTATTTCTCGTTAATCTATAAGATTGCTAACTGCCTGCTTCCCAGATAGTATTTAAATCGATTTCAGACCAAATAATTAACGCTCGCATTGAAACAAGTGCCAATTTAGTGTTGTAATTTTTCAGACGATTTTAGTAATCTACCATAAGCTTGTTATTTACATAAGAAAACTTGTAAAGTTGTCTCAATATGCTTTGCATAGTCAGTTTAAAATACTATAATTTATATGTCATGTTTTTCATTAAATAGTTCAGTTAATAGTTTTGGTGGTATTTCTTTAGTCACATGGCCAAGCAAGTGTGTCAGCTATATTTTAGAGCGCGTGCACTATTAACTTAACTACTCAAATACGTACAAGATGGATTGACGTTAGTTCTAATATGCTTTGATATAAGGGTGATTTATTTGATTACAATTGTCACATCTTTGTGTCAACACAAAATAAAGCGACGTCTTATTCCTATAAATTAACTTCAACCCCACATTTGTTCCAAATTAACGGACAATGTATACCTTTAGAGATGACTAAAACTTTATAACTTTATAACAACAAGGAACATTAAAATCTTCAACTCAAACAGCAATAAAATTCCTAAATACATATGTTTTCGTGTTGTAAGATCTTAACGAGCGCAACCATACAAGTTATGTTAATGACTGCACATTGTTTCATTGTGTTGTGTGTTTTTTTAACTGTAGTCATCCATTCAACATCAAAGATGCATCTAGTGATAGGGCAAGGTCCGGTTGCCTAATTGGTCATCAAGTAAATTATTTACTTTTGCGCAACCGCAAACATCCTTGCAAGGACGGTTACAACATCTACGTGGAACGACATCTAAACTAGAATTACGTTCGTCAGTTGACTCGAAGCAAAATAAACAGCGTAAGTATGCGGTGCACACTTCGCACGATCTATGTAGATCCTTGAAATGAAACCGGGGGAACTGAAATTAGCATACAGCAATGGTAAGTGATTCAAAGTAAACGAATTCTGCGTTAAATTACTAGCGACTCTTTTAGGACGTAACGCTTTTGAAAGTACACTCAACAGCCAGAATGTGAAACGTAGGAAATGGTTGTGGGACTGTTAGGTGTTATCCGTTTCGTTTAGTGTTAATAGCATTATACGTCATTGGAAACAAGAAAAGACAATAGCCGCGGTCCAAGTGTTGCGTCACAATGTCGCAACGGAGTGCGTTCACACTTGATTGGGTTTCACTGCGGCGAGCTTACACGTGATACAAACGCTCCATACGTTGCGGGATATTTCTGTCACGTAAGATAAACCCTTTCAGACGTAAATCACGGCCTACTTGGGTTTCTTAACAACTCAACGAGGGCTTCTTAGGTGATGCAACAATTTGAGTACAATCTTTGAGTGGTAAATAGGTCTTAACGAGAATGGATCTTTTCCACTCGTAACTCTTATGCAAGTTTCTTAATAATTTGATTCGAGATAACGAACCGTTATCGGAACTACAATCATGATGAAATAGCTAAAAGCAACATATGTCCTCGGAGGTACAAAAATTTTAATTAATTATAATATTTATCCGTGATAGCTCAGTGTCCGGGCGCTCGCCTTTAATTCTATTTACTCGAACAACCTGAGTTCTATCCCCGGTATCGGCACCAAAATTATTAATTTTGCTACAGATATACAATACAAATATGCTTGCATCAAATTTGAAGCTCAAACCCAAAGCTGAGAATAAGTGCTTCAGAAATAACACATCTTACAAAACAGCAAAAATATTGGTACGACAGTATAAAAATAAGACCTTAATGTTGATAGAAACCGCAACACATATTTCAATACCTTGAATTTTTGTGATAAATCTTTGATAAAGTACGAGATTAGAGGCAAAAAATTTAGATAATGTAATTTGGAATAAAAATTAAATTACAATAATTGTTTGTCATCAATCTAATTATAACGATAATGTAAGAATTTTATTTAAAATACTTTTCTTTCATGCCAACTTCATTAAAATTTTGCGAGCTATGTATAAACACGTCCATTTTTTTTTATTAACGAAAAACAAAACCGACTTCGAAGATCTCGCTCCGTATTCATTTTATAATTTATTTAAGGACTTTCTTAATTATCTCCGGAGCTCAAGATCCGATATCAATAAAATTAATATGGGACCACATGTGAAGCGCTAGCTTTCAAACAAAAAATGAATCATCAAAATCAGTTCACCCATTCGAAAGTTTCGAGGTAACAAATATAGATAATAAAAAAAGCTGCCGAATTGACAACCTCCTCCTTTTTTGAAGTCGTTTGAAAACGGATCCGCTTAGTGTGTGAGCATGGTTCTCACTACGAAGATGGCTTAAAATCTGGCAAATGTAATATAATAGGAAAAAAGAAAAAAAGTGAAATCGTAGAACACGAGGGCTCAAGTACTTTAT